AGGCCATTTTCCTAAGTAAACAGATGCAGAAACAAAAACTAAAAAACCATATGTTCTCACTTACAAGTGGGAGTTAAACATGGAGTATTCATGGGCATAAAGATAAGAACACATGTTTAGCTTCTTCTCTCTTCCTTTGTGATTCCTAATACAAATGTGTTGGTATTCTACACATGGACTTATAATGTCTGAGGTTTTATTCATTCTTTATAATTTTTTCCTTCTTTATATGAGATCATTTCTATTGACTAATATTTCAGTTCACTGATTCTCGTGTCATGTTAAATTGCTGTTGAGTCTATCTAATACATTTTTCAATTGAGTTGTTGTGCTTTTCATTTCTGAATTTCCCAGTAGGTCTGTTTTCATAGTTTAGTCTCTGTTTGAGAGCCTCTATTTGTTGAATCATTGTCTTTACAAATTCCTTTTAAAATCTTTTATTATAGGTTAAAATAATTCTTTGAACATATATTTGATAAGGGTGGAGCACATAGACACCATGGAAAGGGAACATAAGGCAGGGAGCTCAAAATTAGATTAGGTGAACTTGGAGTCTCTGACTATATGATGCTCTTGTGTGTTTTAATTATTTCCCATGTTTTATGTTTCTCATATTAAAAATAGCTTTTATTTTTAAGATAGTAACTTTGTATAGAAATTCAACTTATTATTCCCTGGAAATTTCTAACAGAAAACTTGATGAAAATTTGGTTTTTTTAGGTCCCCATAGCAGCCTCTGCCTGGGACCTGACTTTGTCTCTGAGCCAGTGGAATCTGTGATGAGGTTTTGAGTTGGGCAGTGAAATCATGTCAGGGCAGGCTGTGCTATGGGTGCTGTGGAGGACAGGAGGACACTCCAGGGTCAGTGATGCTGAGAGTTCGAGGGGAGACTCAGCATGGAGCTGCCTGTGAGTTGCCCCAGCAATCCTGTCTGGACAGCGATCATCTCACAAGTGTACTCAGATGCCAGTGGATGGCCCAAACTTGGGCTCAGGTTAGAGAAGGACAAAGCTACAGGGATGAATATTATAAGACTCATTTGATACTGTGAAATGTCAGTATAACCTTAATGAATTATATGGGAAGATAAAGGAGTCACGAGGTTGTGATTTTTTATTTGATATTAAAATATATCCCCTCTGCTCATTTTTTTCCTCCAGGATGTACCTACCGATATACATTTAACAAAAATCACGGTTTTTAATTGTCGTTTTAGTAACTGACAGCCTGTGTGCAGAGTTCCTAAGTAACTGGGAAGCCAGGCTATCATTCCTATGGGTGAAGCCAGGAAGTAACTGTGGATGTGAACCAATGTGAGTTTCATGTACACGTCTCCAGATCCACAGGCCACTAATCTGGGGAGAACCCGCAGTCATTTCACTTCCCTATGCCCAGATGAGAGGACACCTTCATCTGTGTTCATCTGATGAACTCTAAACACTGGACCATCTTCTGAAGGTGTAGTTCACGCTTCTTTTCTGTGCTAGAGGAACTCTCTCACTGACACGTATTGTATCCTCTGCATAGGACAGTCTGTGATACATATAACTTGTTGTCTGGTAAATACTACTCAATCATGTCATTTATGAGTCTTCCATAGGTGTTACCTGACCTATGGCTATGGGGTCTTCCAAAAGAATGGGCCAGAGGTAGAGCTGTCAAACTATAGCTGGATAAAAAGTGTAAATGTCAAGAAAGGGTAATGAAGTGGTGATAACAATAGTAATATTCCAAATTAGTCTGGACTCTTGGCTGTGATTACTGGTTAGTGTGAAAGTGTCTAGGTTTGGTTTTTATTAGTTTTATTTCAATTGATAAAGTAGCCAAAGTGCGTAAATCTTGAATGTGCAACTGAATAAAATTTATGTGTAATTCATTGTCCCAGTGGAATGATAGAGTATTTCACATTCCCTGTGCTTCCCTCATGGACAATTTGTCTGTTGTCACCCCTCCCACCCAGCAAAAGCAACTGTCTTTCTGACATCTACACAATCATTTAGATTTTCCTGTCTTGAACTTTGTATAAATATCATTAAGTGTATTTTTATCTTTTTAGACTTGTTATTGTTCCTTACAACTTTTGAGGCCATCATTTCTTCCAGAGGAGACAAGATCCTGTCTCATGTCATTTCCTGTGCTTCTGAAGGATTTTCTCTCAAATGTTTTGCAAGACAAAGCTGCTATGAATGAATGTATTTTGTTTATCAAATAAATTTTTTGCTTTTTTCTTTAGATTTGAAGGGTATTTTTACTGGATATAGACTTCCTGTTTGTCTTCTTTTTTTTCCTTTCAGCATTTAAATATGACATTTCACTCCTTCTACCCTCTATTGGTCCTGATGAAAACTCAGCCAATGGCTATGTTGTTGTTTCTCTGTATAAAGTGTCTGCTTTCATTCTTGATGCAATGAAGATTTTCTTTGTCTGTCAACATTTTAATACAATGTGTTCAGTTATTAATTTCTACTGATTATTTAAGAGGTTTTTATTAAATTTTTTCATTTGAGTTTTTTTTTATTACTTTTGAAAAGTTGTTGTCATTATTTCTCCAAATATTTTTTCTGCCACTTTCTCTTTCTCTCCTCCTTTGTGACTCTCATTATACATTTGTTGGTATCCTTCACCCTGAGCTATAAATCTCTGAAGTCTTCTTTTTTTTTCTAAATATTTTCTTTAGACTCAATAATTTCTTTTCCTCTATTTTCAAGTTAACTGATTGTTCTGCCATCTCAAATTGCTATTAGACCTAGCTAATAAATATTTAAATTGGGTTATTGCAATTTTCATTTCTAGAGTTCCTATTTGGTCATTTTTTATATTTTCCACGTCTTTTCTTGAGGCCCTCCTTTCCGAATCTTCTTTTTAAAAAAAAAAAAAAATTCTTTTTTATATCGATGATCATAGTTTTAAAAATAATTATTTGAACACCTGGATATTAACTGCTTTGTAGTCTTTGCTAAATCCAATAATTAGGGCAAGTTAGAATTAGCTTTCATTGACTACTTTCTGTTGTTATTATTATAGCTACTTTATTTTTATTCCTTTGATATTGTTCATACTTCTCTGTTTTCTTCCAGGAGTTGTGAAACTGAAAATTGTACGTTGTTGATAGCATATTATAGTACCTCTCTTAAGATTATGGGCTTTCTTATTTTTTTTTTTTAACATTTTAAAGAGTTTATTTGAGCAAACAATGATTTCTGAATCAGAAAACACAAAACTGAAGGAAGTCAGGCTTTTATGGGATGAATGCGGAAGTAAAACAAAGATAATATTTGATTGGTTACAGTTATGCAGTTTCCCTATTTTGTCTTTCCTACAAGAAAGTGTCCGAAGCAGCCAACTAAATTTACAGTTATATAACTGGGCTTTCTTATTTTAAACTTAATTTTTTTAGAAGTAGGGTCTTACTCTTTCAGTCATGCTGGAGTGTGGTGGTGTGATCATAGCTTGCTGCAGTCTCAACCTCTCGGGGTCCAGCTGCTCTCCCGCTTCATCCTCTTGAGTAGCTGGGACTATAGGGGCATGCCACCACTGTCTCCTATTTTTTTTTTAATTGTAAGATAAGTGTGTCACTATTTTGCCCACCCAACCTGGTCTCATTCTCCTGGCATCAAGTAATCCTTCTGCATCAGCCCCCCAAAGTACTGGGATTGCAGGCTCGAGCCAGCATGTCAGGCCTGGAATTTGTTTTTTCTGATCATATTTTAATTTTCTTCTTAGTTACTTGTCTGTACTTACTGATAGTGCCTGACTTATGACAGTTGGAGTTGTAATTTTTGATTTTCAGATCATGTGAATGTGATATGCATTCAAGTAGAAACAGAACTTCTAGTATTCATACAACTATTTTCTCTTTCAGTACAGGATTCAATACATTACATGAGGTATTCAACACTTTATTGTAAGATAAGCTTTGTGTAAGATAATGTTGACCAACAGTAAGCTAATGTAAGTGTTCTGTGCACATTTAGGATGGGATAGGCTGAGCTATAATGTTCAGTGGATTAGATATATTAAATGTATTTTCATGCATGATATTGAAAAATCTGTATCTCACATGGTGTTTGACCACAGGTATCTCTACTTCTTTTTATTCTTAATATTAATCCTTAGTTTGAATTTATAGGAACTGTACATGTACCTACATAGCGAAGTGGTCACCAATGATTTGAGATGTTTTACTGAAATATCTGGAGGTTATAAATCTGTCTTCTGTCAACCCATCTGTGTGTAGTTTAAAAAGCAAACTGCGTGCAAAATGCAGCTAGTTCTTACCTCCCTCTGGTTTTACTTTGCACAGGAAACTCCTGGTTCTCATCACTCATATCTATAGCTTCTAGGTCACTAGGAATGTGTGTAGAGATTGTTTCAGCAATATGGGTCTATCTTATCCAGGAATCTGCTATTTACCGTCAGCAGATGTACTACTTGCCCCAAACAGGGCATCATCTTGGACTAGCAAAGCTATGGGCTTTTTCTGTTCATTTCCTATGGAGTTCTACATGTTTAACTGGAAACACTGAAGAATTTTTTTCCACTCTTTGGCTTTACTCAAGTCCACCCCCTTTGGCAGCAAGCTGCCAGTTTCATTTGCTATCCTCACATTGGTAAAACTCCAGTTCTGTAATTCACATTGACTGAGCTGGGGGTAGAAGGGTGCTGTCACAGGCAAAAGGCTACAGATTTTTTCTGTCCTTACTCAAAGCACTAGTGCTTTTGTTTTCTAAAAAGAATATGCATCCTTAATTATTTTATGCTTCGCCAATTTTCAGAGTGCTGAAATAGTTTTGATATTTCAGCTTTAAAAGTGTGTTTGTTTTTTATTTTTGCAAAGAAGATTTATTAAACTCTTTGTGATGCCATAAACAGAGATGCCTTCTAAAATGCGTTTAAATGAACATAATAGCCAGGCTGAAATGGTATGATGCAATGGACTAACATAAGTAATTTTGGACTTGAGAACTTGAACTCCAAAATGTCCAAATAGACCAGAGATGCTAAAACTGAGTGGCCACCCCACTAACTGTCTGTAAAGGAAGCAGCTGGTGTAATCTAATAAACACTGATGGTCTTGTCAAGGTTTTTGTTTCATGTTGAATCACTGTGGGAGGCCAGTCATTGTACTTCTGACAGTAATAAACTCCAACATCTTCAGGATCCAGGCTGCTGATGGTGAGAGTGAAGTCTGTCCCAGACCCACTGCCACTGAACCTGTCTGGGATGCCAGTGGCCCTGCTGGATGCATAATAGACGAGGAGCCTGGGAGCCTGCCCAGGTTTCTGCTGGTACCAGGCTAAGCTGCTGCCAACACTCTGACTGGCCCTGCAGGAGAGGGTGGCTCTTTCTCCTGGAGACAAAGAAAGGGTGGCTGGAGACTGCGTCATCACAGTTTCTCCGGTGGTATCTGAGACTGGAAAGAAAACAGAAATGCACTCATATAATCAAGATCAAACCCACTGTCTTTGAGTAGAGCCAAAATTGTTGATCTACATTGAATTTTAATATATTTCTATAGGTGTCAGGAGATTTCACTAATGTGCAAAATCACCCGATATTCCTCTCACCTGGGAGCCAGAGCAGCAGGAGGAAGAGAAGCTGCGCTTGGACTTCCATGGTTCCCTCTGGGTCCTAACTGAGCAGTTCCTCCCCAGAGCTCTGACCCAGGCATTGATATGGGCTCTGGAAGGTAGGGCAGCTGGGAGGGACATGCAAAGCAGCTGGGGTGGGAGCTGGGCTTCCAGCTGCAGGGACCACCTGCTTCTTCCTCTCTGCACTGAACATCCTGCGCCTCCCTAGTTGTCAGAGATCAGAAAAGTCTGTTGGTTCAGTCTGAGTGTAGAACTTCCCCCTTGTGCTCACAGAATTTCACTCCTGTGTCTTTCTTCTCCTCAATCACCTAAATCCACTCAGATGATGTTTGCCACAAGGCTGTTAAGAACAATATAAGAGGCTCTTTTTTCAGTTCTCTCTTCCTATCCTCAATATGCCCAGTCATCTCCCTAAGGGCATTATTGGATCTATTGAAATGAAGAGTCTGTTAAAACTTAATCTTCCAGATACACTTTTCATTTGCTTGTTAGTAATGATTTGTGAGGGTCTTGAAGCTTTCCATTAACCCAGACACATCCGTCTTTAAGTTAAAATTCAAAAACTACTGTTCACAGTCACATGTCCCGGCAGACCCTGACATAGATGCTCCATGGCTTGCCGATTGCTTGAAATTGATCAAGTAACTTAACTTCCCTGTGTCTCAGTTTCCATATCTGTGTGACTGTGACAATAGTGCTACCTACCTTACAGTGCTGTAGACAGCTTATAGAAATAAGATAAAACCTTTACAATAGTATTCAGGACATTATGGATGTGACAATTAATTTTGTTTTTATTGATTAAATATTCAGCACTACAGTCATCATCATTATCATAAATATACTTACTTAGCATGGGAAAGAGTCTTCAATCTAACCCAAGAATGTTTTATCCACAGCCAGATTTAATTCTAAGGCTTTTCCTTCACTAACTCTACACAACTCTTTAAATCCTAATCATTTGGTCTTAATCTGTGCTAAAGTACTCAGACCTTCAATCATTCTCACCCATCCCTGTCTAACTCATTACTTCTCATCATCCATTACCAAAATGTTACCCTATAAAAGGTTACCATGTACAGCTGCTGCCCTTCTTTCTTATGTAATCTTTATTCTACCTTGTTATCTTTTGTCTTATTCTTGCCTCAGGACAATAAGGATAAGCCACCATCATTACTTGTGGACTTGCTCCAATATAATTTTGTCAGGCTTGTTATCTTGAAAATGAAGACTATGTCTTGCAAAAGAAACATATTCATTGGGTCATTGTGTTATCAAGTAAAATATTTTATCTACTTATGATGCAATAATTAATTTAGATTGACGTGAACAGATTTTTTTTAAAATGACAAATAGGAGAAGATAATATAAGAGGAAAATACAATAACGACAGAAAACACAAGCTATTATAACTCTTGCTTCATGGATTGCTACATATATATTAGACATATGCTGGGTATATGTGTGCAATGGTGATCCAAAAACTGAATGGTAACTGGCTTAAGGAATGCCTGTAGTACACTGGGTCTTGTCTGCTTTTCCAATTATGAACAGAAAGCTACAGTGCTATTTGTAAGAGTATGAAACCTAGCTACCTAAGATAGATGTAGAAGAGATTTACTGAGACAAAAGCCTTGGAAGTAGCAAACGTTTGTCCTATGATGTTACAGGTGTTGCTGTGGTTGTTGTTAGGAAATACAGTGGGAGTGAAAGTAAGTAGAAGATTTATAAGCTCTAGTCTTCCTCATACTCATAACCCCCTCTACAGATGGACAGATATTGGTACAGGAATCTCTGACACCTCTAAGGAAGTCTTTCTTGCTCTTTCCAGAATCTTTCCTGACAAGTATTGTTTTGAGCCACAGATTAGGTGGAACTGGGTGTAGAAGAAAGGACTAGAGCAAGGGAAGAAGTTTTTCAATCCCAGGTAGTAGTTGTAGGCACAGGGAAATGGAATTTTTCTTAGATTTATGCAACACTTGTATCATGTTGGGGAGAGAGGCATCAAACCAGGCTCATTCTTGAAAGAAACATTGCATTATTTTAAGGAGAAGGAACTATGAATTTCTCATCAAATAGATGTTTAAAATTCCAAGCTTCAAAGCTACATTTTTTTTTTTTTTTTTTAATGACAGTATCTTGCTCTGTCACCCAGGCTGTAGTGCAGTGGTACGATCTTAGTTCACTGTAACTTCCATCTCCCTGGTTCAAGCAATTCTTCGGCCTCAGCTTCCCTGCTTAAGAATCCCAAGCTACTTGCTGGGATAACAGGCATGTGCCACCACACTGGCGAATAACAGGAGACAGTAAAGGCCCACAAAAGAATGTACACAAGAGACAACTTTTCTTCTTTTTTACAGAGTAAGTCAAAATGTAAAATAGTATTATAATGTATGGAATCATGTATAAAACAACTCTCTTGGTTTTCTAATTTGTGCTGAACCCAAGCAGTGTTGTGATGGAAAATGAGTTTCTTTTTCTTTAAGCTGAATTTGAATTTGCTCCAATAACTTAATAGACACCCTAGTGGCAAGTCCTCTGTGATGCTCGCCATTGTCCCTATTTCTTACAAGGATTTCTACTGCACACAGAACTTTTTCTAAGTCCAACAAGAGGAAAAGTGACTGGGCCATCATTGTTCTCATCTCAGATTTCCACTTCCTGCATAGAAGGTGTACATATAGGTAGCAAGACGTTCTAAAAGTGGAATGTAAGCATTTGTTATTGAACAAAATATGACTAAAGCAGTATTTTTATTTTTTATTTTTAAAATGTTATTTATTATTATTATTATTTGAGACAGACTGTCACTCTGTCACCCAGGCTGGAGTGCCATGGTGCGGTCTTGGCTCACTGCAATCTTCGCCTCCTGGGTTCCAGTGATTCTCGTGCCTCAGCCACCCAAGTAGCTGGGATTACAGGCATGTGCCACTATGTCCAGCTCATTTGTTTGTATTTTTAGTAGAGACAGGGTTTCACCCTGTTGGCCAGACTGGTCTTCCTCACCTCAAGTGATCCGTCCACCTTGGCCTCCAAAAGTGCTGGGATCACAGGCATGAGCCACCGCACTGGGCTTTCAGCAATATTTTTATTAAGTAAAATGTAGAAGAAAAAGTGTAAATAAAGTGACAATAAGAAAACAATTATGGAAAATGATAACTTTAGGGGAGAAAATAAGAAAAGGCAAACCAAACCAAGATTCCTGTAGGGTGAGCCTCCAATGCACAATCCAAGGAGGAATGTCAAGGCTGAAAACTCTGGAGCATCCAGATAGAGGCCTAAAATACCAAATTCTGAAAACACAGAGTACCCCCAGTATCAGCCTAAGAGTGTCCCCACACCAAATGCCAGGAAATCCTGAAGTATCCAGGGACTGAACAATGCAGAAAATCCTGGAGCCTCAGTGGGGTGGCCAACAGTGAGCACCAAAGGCCTGGTTGGGGCCGTAGAACAATGTGACTCTGGCTTCTTAGAGTCAACAGAACAGGAGAATTCTTACATCCAAGTGTCCTGCCTTAAACAATTGCACAAACCTAATTAGCAGTGAGCCAAAGCCAAAACTGCAAACCAAACATATATATCAGAAAGAAAATAGGATAAATGGCTGATGGTTAAATAAAATGGCATTAGGGGAGAATTGACTAAGAGAAAGAGCAATGAGGATGTAGTCAGGTGTGCTATGGGGGACTTCAAATGGACTATCTAGCCAATGGCCTGATTCCCTGGATCATCCGATATAGGGCAGGTGTGCAGAGGGGACCCTTACAGGTATGCAGGAGCTGAAATGGTGCCAAGCAGTCTCTAATGTGGGGCCTGCATGAAGATCTCTCCAGGCTCCCCAGCTTGGGTGGGTTGGGCTCCCGCGGGGGAACTGGAGCACGGAACGGCTGGCCAGCATGAAGCAGTGGCTCTGTGGCCACTTGCCCATCCTCAGGGCTCCACCGCCTGTCAGGAACGATGATGGCTCTTAAAACAGCCTTTGGCCAGTGTTAACACCTCTTCAATGTTAGCAACTTTGTAGCTTTGATGGCTGTAGCGCTGATCACCGTCTCGCCCTCTCTCACTGGTCTCTGTCTTGCCACGTCTCCAATAGCTGTCTTGCCCATTGCTGATCGCCGTATCCTTCTTCTCATAAAGTGCCATCTCGTGCTGTGTCTTGCTGTCTTGCTTCTCCGCTGTTTCTGCCATCTCACTGCCACATCAAAGGCTGCCTCTCACCATCTCTAGTGGTGAGTGGCTGGCTCAATACTGATGCAAGGCAAGTTCTCAGCTTTGCTCAGGAAGGAATGAAAGAGTAAGCCAGTGATAGAAGAAAACAGCTTTATTGAGGCGGCAGTGTTGTTACACTCTGTGACTACTCCTGCAGAACAGGGGTATTTCATAGGCAGAGGGCTGAGAGGGGCAGCCAGGGGCAGTTTTACAGTCACATCTATACCTACCTTTAATTATGTGATAATTAAGGGTTAGGTTGTTCAGAAATAGCTAGAAAGTGGGTGGTGTGCCCCAGCTTCCAGGTGTTGCCATGGTAGGGGCAGAAATTTCCAGGTGTTGCTATAGCAAGGGGCTGTGATTTCTGGATGTTGCTATGGCAACGGTAAACTGTCATGGCATTGGTGAGCATGTCTTATGGAGAGGTCCTTTCAGGACCCTGTTCCTGTTTTGGCCAGCCTCACATCTGCTCTAGAGTAAAGTCCTGCCTATGTCTTGCCTCAAAAGTAACAAGAAATCTGTAATAAAAAGTTAC